TGTGATTTACAGGAAAGAAATCAGAATCCGGAAGAACGGAAAAAACGACGGTAAAGAAAAAGAGAGAATTTCATTGACCAGTGAATAACACTCCTTAAAAGAACAGAAAACGATTATTTCATCTCGGGGAGAAAAATATAAAATATTTATTCTCTCTTGGAATTTATTCTTTGAAATCTGTATTATCTCTTTTTGAATGGAAAATAAATTGTGCAGTTTAAGATGGTAATGATTGAAGGCACGTTTCCCGAGCCGACCAGGGCTAGTTTCCGATTATATTCGCGCGAAGGGTAATCGATTTCTAATTTTACATCCGCCACAGGGGATTTAATCCTGATAAGATGGATTTTCGTTCGTCCGGAATGGTACTCACGACACGGAAGCTGTCGTCGGCTCTCTACACCCTCTCTCTCTCTCTCTCTCTCTCTCACTCTCTCTCTCTCTTTCTCCCTCTTTCACTCTCTTCTCTCCTCGAGCTGCTTCCTCCTCTGGGCGTTACTCGGCGGCGGCCTCGACTCGGATTGTAACTACTTGCGGACTCGCGTATATCGGATGCGTGCAATGGATATAGATGGCAATTTTGCGAGCCGGATTTATCTTTCGTCCTCGTATTACAAGCGCATTGCGCTACGTCGTCCGCGGCGCGCGGCGATAGCGATAAACGACCGAAAGGGCGAAAATCCTATTCTGTTGTACACCACGACGGTCTCTCGTCGACGATCGCGACGGCGACGGCGACGACGACGGCGACGGCGACGGCGACGGCGACGACGACGGCGACGGCGACGGCGACGGCGACGACGACGGCGACGGCGACGACGACGACGACGACAGTGGGATGGAGAGCCGCGAGTGCGCCTGACCGGTGGTGGCGAACGCGAATATGGCCGCCGACGTAAATCGATAAAACACGTTACGTTTTCCGACGGCCGCGGCGTTCCGACGCGTCGCCGCGCCGCTTGGAGCCGATGCTCTGCGTCGTACCCTCGTTACCCCTCGCCCGCACCCCTGAATCAAGGATTTGAAGCCAAGTTGATAATGACGATGACGACGTCATTAGCGCGCGCCGCGCACGTAAAACTTTCTTTTTTTTCCTTTTAATATTATTAATTATCCCCTGTTCCGACAATGACGATGATATAATTATCGCTTGGTGACGTCAGTCTACTAATGATTTTAAACAAAGATTGGTTCATTATTATTAGTTTCTCATCGATATGAGACGATATATCGGAAAAGGGCAAAGGGCATCCAAATGTCGGAGCATACAGAGACCAATACGCAAATCTTTTCTCCACAGTTTTTTCTTGGAATACTTGGAACACACATTGTACGCAACCGCCCTAAAAATTTTCCGCGCGCGATATAGCTATTATTATTTTTAATTATAATTTAATTTAATTGTTGTATTAATCATGATTTATTTGTAATCATGAAAAATATTTTATACAGTTATTATCATATTTGTTTAAAACCTGAAGATTACGTTAGGAGACTCTGTCATTTCATTGAATATATAAAATCAAATTGTATACATATACAGAATATAATATATATATATATATATTTTATGTGCAACAGTCGGAGGTCTTCTTTCGTTTTGTGAAGAATATATCGAGTTTGTTGTTCTGTTCCAAAACAGAAAGAAGCGTAGTCACATTCCATAAAACGTCTCAATGGAGCGCATGCCCGAATCGATCTATCGGAAATCTAGGCTTTTGGTATATTTTTCGTAAATCTCTTTCTATAAAAATAAAACTATACTAAAATCAAGTAAACTTTTCACATGTTTTCACAGATGGTAAGAATGCAAAAGAAGAGAGTTTGAGAAATAATTGCGAAAATAGTTATAAGTACTTAAACAGCTTGGTGTAAACTCGTTATATAGTCAATTTTTACTATTATATATTACGCACGCTGAATCTATAAACGACCCTTTTGCATTTACGAAATTAATAAAGTGATAAATTCTTGTTGCAACATTAATCCTAATTTTAACTGCAGAATATCTCATTACAAAACACATACACACACACACACACACACACACACACACACAAATTTGCATTTATTATAAATATATGAATTTAATATATAAAATCTTTGGTCTCAATCTACGTTTTAAACGAAAGAATGTATTATGTATGATAATTTCTATCGTTTATAATTAATTTTTATCCAAAAGAAAATGCCATCTTGTCGTTAAAAATCTTACATATATTCGAATTCTCAAAATAGCAATTTTGATAATGATGTTCAGAGATATCGACTGTGAGCAAATGCAAATATAATCTAGAACTCGCAACGATTCTTTCCGAAAGATGGAACATTGTGATTGCAGGAAAATCGATTTGTAACATTATTCCAGTCTCTCTCTCTCTCTCTCTCTCTCTCTCTCTCTCTCTCTCTCTAACACATACCATGTATACATACACACAACTGAGTAGACAGGTACTATATAAAGTTTCGTAATATCTATGGAATCCTCTTTACCTGAAATAGCAACGAGTTGAAGAGTATAGAGTATGTATACGTATATTTGTCTATAGATAGATCAAAAATTTGCACACGTAGCTCGTGTAAAGTTAATGATACATTACAATTTTACGATCTTATACTAAAAGTTTCATTGATACAATAAATATAGAGTATTAATCCTCTATACTTAATTGGATCACAATAAAAATAATTATAAAGTTAAATGATGAAATTCTTTAAATGTAATTTTTATTGATATTTTAATGCAGATATTAACACTAGAATAATTATTACAACAACAAAGTAGAAACAATTAATATTATTGCCATTTTTATATGTAAATGTTAATAATTTTTATTCTCACTAATCAAATATCTCTATCTTATATATAGGTCATCATTTTTTTGAAATTAATATAATATAGTCCGGGAGACAGCCTAGAGAACATGGCATGTCCGAAAGACATCGTAAAACCGTCTTTAGAACTTTTCCAAAAGACGCCTTTTAGATATCTTTCAAACGTATGTATATTTTCGAAAGATATTAATTTAGTTCATTCGTTACTCATTTGTTACCGCTTGAAACCGTCATAATTCGTTATTTATTTGATAAACACGATCAAGGAAATGCAAATATAGCAGATCTCCCGTGGTTTTAAAATTGATGATGTGTGTGATTAAAGTTGTAAAAGAATTTTTTCAATTCATGTTATTTCTTGATGTTTGTTTTTAATGATTTATAAGTATGATAATAATTTACGTAAAAAAAAAAACCGGAAAAAAAAACTGTTTCATACCGTTTCTGTGGGTTGAAAAGACTGCCAAACTAACAATAAGCTATAATATAAAGTGATAATCGTCCTTAATTTCATATAATGTTTCAAGATAATACGGTTCTCTGATTGGTTTATGGCACTCAAGCACTATAGCTCAAAATCATGATTATCTCAAATCTTGAGCAACATCTCTCTCTCTCTCTCTCTCTCTCTCTCTATATATATATATATATATA